TTTAACACAAGTGACAGTTATTTGAAAACAGCGCGCACCTAAAGCTGGTTTCGGTGCCGTTTAGCAGTTTAGTTTTATATATTGGTCACCTTGAGAAAAGTTTCCCGGAGAGCATCATGTAAAGCTCTGAGATGGGACAAAGTTGTTACGATTCGCAGAGTCTGCATCGTCCAATATGGTATTATATTCTCGTTTCATTTGGCTAAACGGATCAATCACCCTGATCCGGGCTGAGACAGAAAGGTACGATATTGTTCGCTTTTCTAAGGTGACCACTAAGTCTTTGGCCTCGGGAACAGGCTCTTAGGAGTCAAATGAATTAGGTGAGAGCAAAATTGCCGGTGAACTCTGACCCGGGCCAAGACTTTTTTTTCTGGTGTGAAAACAAGGCTAAGGTGATCCGCCGACCGTGTGACTCTACATCCGGGAACTTGAATAAGACGAGTGTAAGAGAAAAGTCCAGAGGTGTTTATCTGGCAATAGGCTGAGTTTTTCCGAGTTATTCGATGATATTTCGCTTATGTTAAACGTGAGAAGATTATGCGTGGTTGTGGATAGTCTTATCAGTGCCGCGAAAGTGTGTGATTTCCGGATGGTGTTGACAGGTATGTGATCGCGTGGTTGAACTGCGGTTTGGCCAAAATATTCTGTGCCAGCCATAGAGTACTAAAGTGTGACGTCATAAAACTGAAATTTCTGAAATTATGGGATTTGTCAGGATATTCTGAAAGAACAATGTCCAAAAGGCCTACTTGCCAAAAATGAGCATTTGGGGGCAAATTGTCTCTGAGATCGTAGCCCAGTTATGCTTACAAAACTCCATACAAACCCTTCTAAAATTTTTTTGGGTCGACCCAAAAAACAATTAGAAGGGCTTGTATGGAGTTTTCTGAGTATAACTGGGCTATGATCTCAGAGACAATTTGCCCCCAAATGCTCATTTTTGGCAAGTAGGCCTCTTGGACATTGTTCTTTCAGAATATCCTGACAAACCCCATAATTTCAGAAATTTCGTTTTTTATGACGTCATCACTTTAGTACTCTATTAATATTGTTTCGTCGGTGTTTAGCTTAACTGATTGTACCTTGGAAAAGCGACTCTCGACTCAGGAAAATAGGATCTAGGTCTAGTTTCAGCGGGCTCTAATGGCATTGAACCACAAGGCGATTTTTGCTGATAAGAAAGTGATAATTTGTGCACTACGTTTCATTCAGTTTGTTGTCTATTCCATGCGGAATTCTGTCGTTTATCGAACCTTGAAGAAAGTAGTGTTTTGCTAACTATTTAAGTTGTCATGTAAGCCTTAACCAGGCACTCTTTCGCTGCAGTTCACCCAACTTAAAAATTTCTAGACTGAAATGACACCGGTTTGAAACTTCGCGAAGTCAGTTTACTGAATAAATGTTCTAAAATTTGAGTCATTTTAAATGTGGACTCGTTGGAATGCTTCTAGGGAGCATTAACTTACTGCCCGGCGTCAGATAAAGGCTTTTAATCGGCCTTTGAATAAGTTTTGTTGTTTTAAATTGCCAAGTAGTAGAATGAGTTGATATTTTTGCTAACCCGGTTTTCAAAAATCCAGGTATACTTAAATGTTTGTTGTCAAATTATGAAAAAAGACACTTCAATATAAATTTTTGCTACAAACCAGCTTACAGTATTTTACAGAGATGTATTTACATACTCTACTTGTAGGGTTTCATTTTTTGGAAAAAGAAATGCAGGAACCATTGATTTTTTGTCCCTTATATTGTAAAATAATGCATTTAAAGACCAAGAGAAAATTTACCCTTTTGGTTGCTTCTAACTCAGATTTTGTCTCTGCTAATGTAATACTAAACAAACACCCTTGATATTAGCCTGTGCCACAGAGGGAACTAAAATCAAGGTGATTCCCTGGTTTTGCACTGCGCATCTCTTACTGCGCATAACAAGATGGCCTCCGTAAAAAAGAGAATGTTAAGTAACATTATTAAAATGAAGTTGACCGAAGAGAAACGCCATTGCAATTCTTGCTTGCGGTTGTTTCTTGCCGAGGTGAGACTCAATGTGGTGGGAATGTGCATAACGTAAGCAGTACGCGTGTTGCTGAGTTCGACCTCCTCACGGATTACCTCGATAGTGGATGTTTAATTTGTGCTTATTCACTTTAATTCATTTTCATTTAAACACTTTCTTTATCACATTGTGTCCTAAATGTGATATCTCGATGTAAATTCTGTAAAAACGGATTTTTTAATATTTTTTTCACCCTTTCACATACATTCTATTTTGAAACTCGCCCCAGTCCTCTCTCAAAAATCAAGGAAGATGCATTTGGTGCGCACTTTCTGCTGCTCTACCGCAAAAACGAGTACGGTGCCCCCATCTTTTATTTCATGATTTTAATAAGGACATTGCTTTCTTTCGGTGAGAAAAAAATTGGCCCAAATCTATGTTCAGTTTTTTGGCAATTTTACTAAATTGTACGGAGTGAGCTATCACGTGTCGAATAGCGCGTGTCCAATTTAATTCTACTTTGGAGCGTAAAGTAAAAACAAGGGCATTAAAAGGCATTTTTCTAGTACGTAAGTGGATAAACAATACATTAAAGTCAAATTCTGTGCGTTACCACATGCATCATTGAAAAAATCTTTCCTTTTTTGTCTAGTTTTGGGCTGCGCGCGGTTTTTGTCAAAGGGTCCAAAATAGCCGTATTTGTCAGCATTGTGACGTCAAAACGAGCACGGTGACCCCCACTTTTTATTACTTTTTTATCATCTTCTTGACTTGTCACATCAGTGTACCAAGTTTCATCTACAATCTATGTTAGGTTCTTTTACTAGGGAATCACCTTAGGTCCATTTGCAAAACAGCGGCAAAATCTTAGTTCTGGGCCCGCTATGTGTGTATCAGGATTTGAGTACATGCGAGGACTGGACTGTTAAAAATGCCATTGTCCATTTGCCAATCATGTTGAAGGGAAACTCAAAATGCTGGTAATTCATTTAGTACGTCGGGGCCCAGAACAAGGATATTAGTGCTGCTTCGCAAATGTTACTAACCAGGGTTAGAATACACCTGCAACACAAGCTACCTTGATATTTAATGTTCAAAATATTAGGTAGCCGAGATTGTTGAAAATTTGGAAGACTAATGTAGATGTCTTCAAGACTGAATTAACTTATGCTACAACATTGTGTCCCTATAGAGGTAGTATTATCAGTAGATTTTGATTTTGTATATGTTGTAGTTAATTTTTATTTCAGTGAGTTTTTATTTTTCCATCGTTTCTGGGTATGGTTATGTATGCTAATGAATTTAAAACAAAGGAAAACCAAAAATTAAACGAAATAAAAAATAAACTGTAACATATTCACTAACATGTAACTCACCTAAATGTCACCTTTTTCTCCTTAAGTCGCCTAAAGTCGCCTAAAGTCGCCTTAAATCGCCTTAAGTCGCACAAAATTTTGACCAAATTTTCCTAAAGTCGCCTTAAATTGCCTTAAGTCGCCAAAAATTACGGCGACTTAAGGTCCCAGAGAAAGCCTAAGGAAAGAAAGTACTGTATTGAGATGTGCCAAGTACGATTAATTTTGATCACATTTACCAGTTTTAACCTGTCTGCGGGCTATTGATAAGAAAGTACAGAGATGTGCCACTGAGTACGATTAATAATCGTCCCTGACCACATTTACCAATCTCAGCCTGTCTGGAAGCTATAGATAAGAAAGATGTGCCAAGTGCGATTAATAATCGTTTTTGAAGGATTCTTTCCTCCGTGTAGACTGTATTTCTTTCACACACAAATTACCGTAAAATTCCGAAAATAAGGGCCTCCATGTATAAGCCCCTCCAAATATAAGCCCCCCAAACTCGTAACGCAAAAAAACCTCCGTTAAATCGCGCCTCCAAATATAAGCCCCCCGGGGGCTTGTACTTGGAAATTGCCCTCAATTACAAAGTAAAACAAAGCAAAAACGATAAATTTCTTTCCAACTATAAGGCTAGCCCAATCGATTTTGAAACGCAAATTTCCCTCCGTAGATAAGCCCCTCCAAAAATAAGCCCCTCAAAAAGGGCCTTTGATAAGCCCCGGGGCTTATTTTCGGAATTTTACGGTAATTTAAGTCGTCATCAATATGGTTATTTTTCCTTAACGAGTTATTGCTGAAAAGGTTTCATTTAAAAATTAAACCATAAATAGCTTAATGCATATGACGTAGTACTGAGGAAGAGGTTTAATTTGGATAGTCACTCATGTAGGTTTTCGTCAAAAGATTCCAAATTTAAAACCGCGCGAAACATAAACTATGCATGTGAACGTACTACTAAAAAGGTTCGATTTTGATAGTCACATCATCTAGTTTTGTCCAGAGACCAATAGTTAGAACTACATGCGAAATAACTAGTTTCATGTGAACACGCTACTGAAGAGGTTTTAATTTAAATGGTCAAACTATTGGATTTCATCGACGGACTAGTCACTGAAGTAAGATTTCGAACTAACTCAGTAAAACATAAACAAATACAGTCATGTAAACACTCTAAATCAGAAAGATCAGTTTAAGCCCTAAAAACAGGGCCGTTTCGGTGAGTAAAATACAGTCCTATTTTTGGGTCTAATTTGGCTCCCTTAAATCAGGGCCAGTACAGTCCAATTAGCTAGGGCTGATTTGGTCCCAGGGCTGAAATGGGCCCTACGGTGGACTGGAATAACCTTTTGATAGAGCTTTTTTGGCCTAAATTGTGCTCAAATGGCTCCAAGAAGGGCTGAATCAGACTTTGGCCCGCAGGGCTGAATTGACACTTTGGGGCTGAAACAGATCTTTTTAATTTACAGTGAACGTGCTACAGATAAGGTCTCATTTGAACAGCCGATCACATCACAGCTTTTTACAACAGAGATAAACTAGGCACTATTTTTAAAATGTCCCTATTATTGAATCTGGAAGTAGAAAGATTAACTTTAGCGCAAGTCTCAGACGATTGTAGTTTTCTTCTTTGAATTTCGGGCCTTTTCTGTAGAGTGAGCAATAGGCGTCAGTTCCAAGGCCACAGCCTACTCATTACCATGGAATTCTTCTAGTTCTATGTCGCCCTCACTCCCCGACGAGCAACCGTAAATCTCTGGTTTCAGCCTCTGTCGTCTCTCCTCTGATTCCGGATCGAATTGATCTTCCATGTCACCTGGTAATGGAGGCAAGGGATTGTTTGCAATATTTTCACTTGATTGCCTATAAGAAGAAAACAACGATGTCAACCATAGTAGATTCCTGTAAAATTGACCATACATTTTAGATCATGCGCACGATTATAGAAGGCAACGTCAATCACACTAAAACATTTTACGACGAGCCGATAATTCTGTGAGACAAGATCGCAATGCTCTATTTTATTATCATTATTTCAAATCTTGATGCCGACCGCAATGGACTCGAAACATGATTTGTACGCAACGGAGTTAAATTTTCTCACTCTGAGATTTATACGCTATTACGCCTTAAGTGTCAAAAATAAAAGGCGTTCACGTTGAGTAAGCGTCTTCCCCTAAATATTCGCCTGCCAAACTGAAAAATAAGAGTCTCCTTGAATAACAATCACCTCCAGCACACTGTCTTAAATATATTAAGTGATGTTATCAGGGAACCTACCTTTGATTAAACGCCGGCATTGACATAAGGGAACAGTTTCTTATTAGCCACTCGTTCGGCTCAATTTTAAATTTACCGTGCACAGCAAGACCATTATCTGTATCCACGAGTTAAGCAATTTCTTACGTAACAATGTAACTGAGTCCCTTTCGTTCTTTACCATGACCATGTACGTTTCTCATTAACGACATACTGTCTCCTCAGTACTCCTTTGAAGAACGTATTTCTTCCCCGAATAAGCGCTCCCTCAGTGGCCAAGCTAGTATATAAGCAGAACTGGCCCTACCTATCAGTTATTGAATTAACATAACATAACGTATTTATTGTCGAACTAATATTGGGAAGTTCTTTAGCCTCGGACTTGTTGGCTCCATTATGGGTACGGAATACCGGGTATCGACAACCCAACTCGCTTGTGGCTGAACTTTTCAAGAATAAAAGCCAAATGCTTAATCGAGAGTACTAACCTGTCATAAACATATGCTCTCGTCAAAGGAACGGTGGGGTCTGAATCATGTGGATCAAGGTAGTAATCTTCTCTGCCACGGTTGTTTACTTCTGTTAACTCAAGGTACTCGGTCGCAACACTCTGTTGTGAAAAATAAGCCCAATATCGAAGTTTAGAATAAACATACCAGCCAGGAGCCCATAACCCGGAGCGAGCAACTTCCATACTAGGCCTATGTCACGGCGTTTTTACGGATCAGTTTATTTTTGGACAAATTTTAAGGGGCACTTCTTCCCGCGAAAATGAAATCTCAACCATATCTATGAGCGCATTCGAAGTATAAGATTTCAAAACGGAAACCTAAACGTTATTAAAAGGCAGAAAATACCATTTTTAGCAGAGCTCCACGCGCGCGCTTCGCGCGCGCGTGGGCGAAGCCCCATAGCTAAGGAAATCTACCCATCCCAGAAAATT